TTTCTCTGCAAAGTGAAATTAAAGAATCATTTTTTGCGAACGCCGAAATATTCATATTTCGTGTACTTACTGACCAGATTTGGGAAAGTCACTTAATAAAAATATCTAGTTACAGTTACAAGTGACCAATTCCGAAAAGTAACGCGTTACAGTTACTCAAAAAGTAACGAATCGTTACTTTGCAGTTACTTTCTTGCAACGAAAATTAAAATGTCAAATCTGTATCTGAATTGTAAAGCTTCGATAAAGGAGTTTATGCGTAAGGCCTAATGTAATCTGTAAAGGTTTAAATAAAAAAATATATATAAAGTAACTATTGAAGTAACTGAGTTAAGGTTACAGTTACAGACGGAGAGGAAGTAACGAAGTTAAGCTAGAGTTACCAGGAAAACGTAACTGTAACTTCGTTACAAATAACGAGTTACTTTCCAACCCTGTTCCTGACTTTAATACTCTTTGATACTGACTGCGCTATATCTTGATTAACGTTAAGATATGCAGGATGATTACATACAAATGTTAGGCCAACGTACTAGAAAAAAAAAGGGTTAAACAGCTTCCACGGAACATATTTCGTAGAACGTCAGTCTCGAAGGTATCGCGAATATATCCGCCCACGTGTACAAATTTTTCTCACGACCCTGTACGAACTGGTCTATCGCTCGATCTAAACTTTCGTATGCCAATTCGCCATGCGCGCTCACACAATGCATGTTATTTACACGCACTCCGTCGTCTAATTAAGCACCGCAGAATTATGGGTGCGAATTGATAATGACTACCAGATCCGGAGCATTAATAAAGTTAAATAGTATTATCAATGAAGTACATATACATGTACACAGATATTGGCTAAAACCAGTCAATACGATAGACACAAGTTTAACTTCCAACGTGCAATTTGATCGCAAAACCCTTAGCTTAAACCTCACACGACTGTTGTCATAAACATGCCATCGCGAAACTGACAGAGACGTATACCAAGCTGTAACATGACATACGGAAGAAACCTGCTACATGGCACAACATGCCGGATCGTTTTAGAGTTGTAATTAATACGCTGGCGCGTAGCTCATTTGTGCGGTGGATACCTCGAGGATATTCTATTATCCTATGCGAACCGCCTTTCCATCATCATATCTCAATAGACGCTGACAATCTAATTTGGCATAGGGCACAACGTCAGCGGAGCGTTGTCTTAGGCGCGCGTACAGAATCGGTTCTCACGACCCTGCCCGATCCGATTCCCGTACCCCTTTCGGAGGTCCGTCGTGTCTCCTCTCTCGATGGGTCCACGCACCTTTGCCACATTTTCAATGCGCACGCAACTGCGATGGACTTCGCAATCCCGCAGCGGGGTGTGTTGCCTATTTGGCAATGGCCATGTCGCCGGTCCTCTCTGGGCGCAGCCGGAATCTAATTCGCGGGTGTCGCGGCGCCGAAGAGGACGTAGCTGCTATCCGACGCCCGGGACCCCCACTATAGGCAAAAGCCTTCGTGTAGGTTATAAAGGACCGAGCACGGTACTATACGGCTGCACTCTCTCAGTGAAACTCACGGAGGACCGTTCTCCAACAAGTAGTACCTCCCCTCCTCGTCAGGACGCGACGCGCGTGCACCATGAGGATTATATTGCTGGTACGTGCCAAATTATTCGGTTACTTTATTGAGCGCGTCATTTTCGTCGGCCGTGTCCGCTTTGCCGTGGTTGCCCCATCGAGAAAATCTCACGGAACTGTTAACGTGCTATATCTGTGCCTTATTTCTCCCCAACATCCGCGTTTGACGTAACGTGTATAATCGTAAATACATTGAACATTAATAATTCAAATGTATGTTATAATGCTTGGAATATTACATCACTGTAGCTACTACCAGGAAGCTTGCAAAAGTAGTGAGCGTAAATCGTCCAAAACAAAGTTGTAGAAAAGTAACTCTTCAGTTTTCCTTCCTATATATCTCGGCAACTTTACATGCAGTAATATGTGGCATAGCAATATAATTTGTTTTTACTTTTTTTTTTAAATTGTTCGGACTCTTTTAAATTGTATATCATTTTATATTGCACACATACATATGTGCGTGTATATAATATAATTTTGGTTACAAAACATGATATACAATTACTATTGATAATTATATTTCTATCGGTGAAAATAAGGGCCAGTTTCACAAACGTCGGTTAACCTTCGAAGGACCGGACTGGCCATTGTAGCGGCCAGGAGCAGGCTTGGAAACTTTGCGGAGCATTTAGATTACATATACTATTATGCATAAATTTTCTGTTTAAAAAATTATAAATTTCAATGGAAAAATACCGGCCCTCTACAGGTTAACTGATTCTCTGTCTCTTCTTGGATAATAAGATACAAGAAGATAGAGAATCGATTAAACACTGGTTAACCGACGTTTGCGAAATTAGCCCTGAGTGTTTAGCAAATTATATTATGCATATGTATACAACGAATGTATTCACTATGTTTTATCATCTCACATATTGGATTTATAGAGAGAGCATTCCTTACATTAAAATGTAAATCGCGTTGCCTTAAAAACCGCTCGTTATCCTGTGACCTATATCATATTAACCATCATTAACGCAGGAAAGTCAGAATCGCGATAAGATCTATCGCGGTTCATTGTTGCAATTTGCGCGCGCGCGCGTGTGAAGGCATTTATAATTCATAGACGGCGCATGATTAACAACAACGGAGAGTGAATTGTGTCCGCCCACTCGGTGTTCCGAGCATGGCCACGAGAATTTTCGCTGGAAACCCCCCTTTTTTTGTCGTTTACCCCGTGCGAAAGGCGCGCCGGACGCGAGAAAACTGTTCAACTCGAAAATTGCAACAGTTTTCCCGCGAATAGTCGCGAATTAATTGTGTACCGCAGGCAGTTGTTGACATCCGCCCGTTGCCTTAATGAACCCACACCCGGACGGTTGGGTAATGTAATCTTTTGTTGAATGGGAAACGGACTCGCGCCTCGCGCATCGAGATCCGCGTGTTACAAGCGCGCTACGCGACGGCGATCCCTTTGCGACCCGACATTTTTCGCGGCGACTCGCATTTTTCGAACGCGCTTATTACGTGCTCTATTGATTGATAGTGAAAGTTCCGTTCATTATATTCCGGTTATAGCTGCTGGCATTGTTATAGCCGCATGGTCCACGGTTCGTTATTCTTGACCCGAGGTCACTTGAGATCGATAGACATGACATTTCTTCCTTTGTTAAGTTCTTGCGACGACCTGTCTATAACTTGAACCTGCGGAGCTGAAGTTAATACGAATTTGGTCGGTTACGTCCGCCACCTACCTGAAAAGCGCACAATAATCAATTACCACGTGTGTTCTTGCTACGCCCATGAACAGCCTGGCGTCTGTCAAGCCGATTGTGGGAACGTTTAATAATCGCGCCGATTTCACCCGTGCACTCGCGGCACAAGCATAATTCGCGAATCGTGCGAAGAAATGCACGGGGATCCCGCCCGCGGATATCAGCGTCGATTTCACCGATTCCTTTTCCCGCGGCCTGGCGTAAGGCGACAATTAAACGCGTATTAATAATTCACGAGCGGTTTCTATATCGCGATCACCGTTTCCCTATCTCTCGCGTTTCGTGACCCGATCTCTCGGGTTCGTTCCGCGAGAGTTAATCGCGTGAAACGCGACGATCAGACGGTCTCGCGTGCGCACCGCCGAGTTACGGCTGCCGAGGTGGAAGAGCGGATAACTCCGGATGCGTGCGCGCGAAATGCCTCGAGCCCGACACCAAGAAATCGGCGCGATCGAACGCTCGGCGATCTGGAGAAGTGCCTGGGGTAGTCCGATTATTGGCACTTTCACCGATTACACAAATATGGGACGTCTGTTTTCGCGAGACTTTTCGCGGCGATACGATGCACCAATATCCCCCCCCATCGCCGACGTACACGCCAATCGAGATTCGTACCCCGCGGCGGCATAAGCCGCCGATACCGACAGCAGAAAGCGCTCCTACGCATAAAAGCATCCTTTTTTCCTCGCCGCGAGATGAATCGAGAGCACTTCTCACGGTTTTCGATACCGGCAATCGCGAGAAACCGCGTTGGAAACGTCGGTTTCCAATGACGCAGCTTGTCTGTCACGAAGATCGAGCGCCGAATCGAGCGGCGCTTTTTCCTCGCTCGATCGAAGTCGCTCGAGCACGAACGACGATATATATATATAATTTTTTACGTCCCTCTTTTTATCGCGTGCGATAAAAAAATCGCGGCCGGCGTGATCGTTCTCGACGGTCGTCAGGATCGGAGTTTTCCCGGATCCAGGACGACGACGACGACGACGACGACGATGACGGAGAAACCTCGGTAACGCCGAATTGCGAAAGCGAGGCTAATATATATAATAGGAGCAAATCTCTTGTCCGCTTTCAGCAGCGATTCTTCGGCGATAAACGATCCCCGGGACGCGCAGGCTTCGTTCGCTCGTTCGCCGCGGGTCCTTTGACGCGGTCGGCATCCAAGCCATTGTGCAGACCACGTCACTTTACGGCCTCCTTTTTACCGTCATTATGCAACAGGAAATTGATTATCGCATGCTCAATTATATCGGCTCATCGAACACCCGTCAATTTATGGATACGCACTTTCGACGGAAAATCGGGTGCAATTTCAACGAATTCATTTTTTGCTGCTACACGGAATAACGATTAGTACGGCTTCTTTTTTGAAAAAGAAAAGAGAAGAAAAGTGAGGTTTCGACGCGAAAGAACGTCGCAACTGGCCGGCTAATTAGCATTCCGAAGCGGGCTTTCCCGTTTTTGCGCGTGACCGCGGCGGCAAGTAGCCCCGTAGTCTCATTAGGCAGCTGGCTCTGAAGAAAATGTGAGAGCAAGAAATATCGCAACACGCGGGAGGCTGGCAAATCCATAAATTAAGGGCATGCCGATCTTTCGAGCGACTCCGGAGCGGTCGCTCCTTACGAAACGCACCGCGCGCCGGTGTTATAATTACGCCCGGCATTGTGGATGCACAGGCGGGCAAAACGCATTAAGTTTGCCGCATAAGGTAGGCGGGGTGGTTTAGAAATATCGGGGAGATCGTTGCGCACACATCCCGTGTAGCGACGAGGCTGACTTCGCGATGGCGTTCTCGCGATAGAGATGAAACCCCCCATTACGGTAATGAGACTGCCCGATTAATTTGACGTTGATCTTCCGCGTGGAAACTTGAGTGGGTGTCACTTCTCTCGCAGCTTGCCGCATTCGACATTAAACGCGCGCGTAATTGCTTTAATTAATTCCAGCGGCGCTTTACCGGAGTTGCAAGAATAAAAATTACCCGACAACTAAAATTCCACGCAAATCCTTCCGACTTTCCGCGTAATTTCAAGAATTGCCGCTCGTTTCCGTTAACAATCTCGAGAATCGACGCCGCGAAATAAAAATGCGGAGGAATATTGGTGCACGCGCCAAATTGCGCGCTTATTAATCTGCTTTCAACTTTCCCGCGTGGCAGTCTGAAAAAGCATGTAGCCGAATGACATTCTAATGATAAAGAAAAACGAAAGTTAGAGACTAGCGAGCAAGGCTGACTGCCGGCCGTAAATGCGAATCGCAGCTTGGCGCGAGGTTCGGTCGGCTAGACGGAAGAAAGTGAGAGCGAACGGGACTCTACGCAAATAGATCGCCGGCGTGGTCAGCGCGCGCAGTTTTCAAAAGACAAGGGCGTAACAATGCGCGGACCCCCGGCGCCCATGCGAAATGCATCACGTTCGCTCTCGCCGCCGCGAAACCACCCGCGAGTATTCGAGGCCCCCTACAGGCACCTTTTTCCGAGCCCTGCCTTTGTTAACGCCGAGTTCGCGCGCGTCGCACTTTCAAATATTTGTCTCGACCTTACGTGAGAACGATCGCGCGAGCGCGCGGTCGTTTACAGCCGGGGCGCGCGAGTCAGCGTTCGTTTCCCCGCGCGTTCGTTTGCACTTCCGGCGGATACCGAAACCCCGAGCGGATCGCGACGACGTTTCGCGACGTTCTGCACAGTTCAATTTGTACACCGAGAAAAATTTCCATCAGATAAACCCATTAAATAATGTTTCCGATTAATTTTCCCGATTAAATTATGGATACATCCGATGAAAAATGCAGCTACCGATGAGATTTGATTGAAAACCCGATAGTTGATTTTTCATTGGAAACACCCGAGGGGTAAACCGCTGAGGGCATTGTGGTGTACTGATTTGCGGCACTACTGGGCATTTTTTGGGCATTAGTTGGGGCATTATAAAGATAAATAAGATAAAGTAATGCCCACTGGGCACTAGTAGGCATTGATGTACAAAATTTTGGTCAGTTTCCCCCTCGGAAACACTACTTAATCGATTTATCCAATGGAAACTTTTCTCAGTGTACTCAATATTTCGTTAATTTAATTAAACAACGGAGTCGCAAGAAACTATAAACTAAGCTGAATAAAAGACGTAGTTGTTTCTTTAACTACAGTTCGCGTTGAAATAATACATTTTACTACACATGGCAGTTAAACGTAATGACATATTGAGTGGCAACTACTCATTGAGCCAAATTTAACACTACAAATTTAATAGCGTGCGTTCCTGTTTCGCGCTTCGGTCGCGTGCGCGGGCGCGAGACGTCC